GCTAACAGAAAATTTACAAAATTTCAGCGGATATTTAGCTAAAATTAATTGCAAAAGTATCAACAAATCTCTCAAGAAGAAGGTCTTTCTAATCATTCGTTCTCATGAAAAGCACCAGAACATGAATTCAAACAAAAAGGAAATCTTAGTATTGAAAACGCATTCATCTCTATGAAAAAGTAGTTGAAAATGATGAGAAGCTCAAATTATTCGGTTAATAAGTCAAGATCTAGCTTCAAAACTGTTCTAAACCGCAATAAGTCAAATTTCAGCCAATTTTTTTATTCATTTATTTAACGGAACACATTGGAACTATTTTCCATGCCTGCACAACTCGGAATAAGATTAGCTAGTGGACGGAGCAAGTGGGGGCGGAGCCGTCTAAAAGGTGCGAAAGCCCCTTGGAGGTGCTAACTATCCCTGCAAGGAAAGGCGGCGAGGCTTTGGGAACTCCTGGGCCTCCGCCCTGCTAGCGCACCTAATTGACATCTTTAAATAAAACGGCTCAAAAATTCTCACTTCGTACATAAATAACTAAGAAATCAAGTATGTTGACTTCCTCCTTTGCAGCTGTGTAATTAAAAGAACAAAAATTTTCGAATTTTACAAGAGATTGGAAATTATAATTTGTTTGTGTTTTTAGTAAATTCAATCACATCTATCTGCTAAAAACACGTGCTTAAATGGAAAAATTATATAGAGCTTGATTGGTTCCCTCAATTAGTTGTTGAATGGTGGAAGCCCTTTCTTTGATTTCGCAAATCAAAGCGGCACTTTCTTCTTAAGCATAATTGCTGAGGAGTCCAAACTCACACGCGAACAGTATTGGTAACGAGGATTTTTCCAGGTGAACTTGCAGATCGAATCTGTTTTGCGACGTTGACCGTTTGGCCAAAAATGCAGTACCTGAAAGTTTTACTCATGATGTGGCCTAACGAGATTCTTGAAGTAAGTTCTACAGAAACTTGTGGAATTATAGGTAACCAAGCAATTGAACTGATGAAGATGCTAAATGAAACCTCGGTTTTTCATGGCTGACCACACCAGCAACAATCGGCCCGCAACTTATTCCAACTCGTACCTAAAGTTTGGGTAGACGAATATGTCTGCAAAATATTGAGTTCTTACCCTGACGGTAAGATTCATTCCAGGAACATCAACCTTCTTGCCAGAAAATACGAAACCCAAAGCGAGATTGAGCATATCTTCAACATGACTGGTTTTCGGATTTGGAGCTCCACTGACTACGAGGTATCCGTCCATTAGGGAAAGAACTTTATAGCACTGAAATTTTTATGTAACTGGATATTATCCACATAGGCCAGAAAGCATTGTTTACCTTGTGTTTCTCAATAAGGTAATCAAATCGTTTGAACAGGTCAGCAATCATATCGATCACCTAAAAGTTGGTTTATTTAGCTATCCAAAACTTTTACATCACGTATTTGTATATAAAATGACATGATTTCTGTACTTGAAATTATCGCAAAATATAAACATTTTTCAAGGACTTCTATTAGCAAAGCATATCAGAACTGCTCGTGAAGTTCCGCCTTATTCTAGCAAATCTGAAGTCCTTTCTGTCAAAGCATCTCACTGAACTTTCAGCCAAGAATTGACAATATGCACATTTCCATTGCATTTTCGAGGAAATTTTAGCTCGCCAACTGTTCTATAATGCTTTCAAATCAAAAAATGTTTTTAGTTAAATCCATACTAAAATTTGTACCAACACCATCGAAAATTGAGACAAATGAAAATGTAAACATCCAAAACACCCCTTTGCTCTTTCAACTAATTTTTTACTTCTTCATTTGCCAAGATTTTACTTTCCAAGAAGCGCGCTAAAAAGAAATGCTTTGAATAATTGCGTTAACGCTCTAAATGAATGAGATGCGGTGACCGGATTAGACAAACTTTATACATGAACTTGCAAAAAGTAAATGTAATGTGTTTCATAATTCAATCTTAGTAATAGTAAGACTGGAAAAATAAAAATTCCGAATGGTACCTCTTCTGGTTTGCAGTTCGCGTTTATGGTGATGAAGTCGGGCACATCAGTGAACATCACAGTGCAGTCCGAAAACTCCTCTAAATGCAGAACCCATCACACCAAATCTCTTAAGACTTTTAGTCACATGAAAGGATCAGCTTTAGTTTTTTATATTTGTTAGATAAAGCAAATTAAGATTTTCGATGCAATCGTAGCTTTTGATGGAATATTCTAACCATCACTGCCAATTCATGCACGATGTGGGTTTCAGCGCACTACCTTACTTTAACGCAAGATAAGTCTGCTCCGAGCTTTTGTTGCATAGATTCTGCTTTTTAATGGAATTATCATTTCCTGCAGGTGCAAATGTAAAAATGCAAATGCAGGTATATGAAGGAATAAGTAAATGAATGAATGAATGATTAATGAGCAGAACAATAATTCAGTTGCTGCCTATTTCTCTTTCTTTGATAGATTTACTCGCGATTCTGAGCAACTATTTTTTGTGTTTAGTCGACATTCTCGGAATCCTTGGTGTTTCTTGACGATGTGATCAAAACAGTCGTGTAAGCTATACTAAGCAGGCACATATCGTAGACCTCAGCCTAATGGAAATGAACTGCCTATTGCAAGCAATGTTGAACCACGTCCCGACCACCATTGAACACCAACTATTTTCCTTTAGTGACGCTAAAATCTAAGACTGCATATGAAATGCAAGCTATCAGAAAACCCACGAGGTGGTACAGGTTTTCCAAGACGAAACGCATTTGCGATCACCTCCGGTACAAACTCGTAGAGAAGATGTTCAGTTTGCTGCTTTTTTTTCTCCAGCTCCTCAGCCAAGCCCTTCATTTTTCGCACAGTCTCCTCTAGTCGCTTGCTTAAGACTACATTATAGATCATTGTAGAAATAAGCATAAGTTGCCGTACTTCAACTCCATCTGACATATTCGACTCTGATTTAACATCACCAGGTCCCTAGTTGCATCATGCATGGGCATATCGGAAATAAAAAGCTTCAAATCCAGGATATCCCGAACAGATGTGACGTGTGGAGAGCAAAGAAACATTATAGAATTTCCGCCATTCACTGGCATCATTTGACCTGTAATTAGACTATTTATCGTCTTCAATAACCCAGAAAGCTCTACCTTTGAGAGAAAGTGGTTGCTGGAATGCTTGACTTGACCCTTTTTCCACTTCGTTGCGACGACAGTGATGTTTCAGTTGGAAGATGAACAACGTGTTTAGGTACGTCATGATGCTTTTGTGTGTCAGTTGCTACAGAAAAATTAATCAGATGGGCGCATATAATCTGGTATTCACATGCAAATATGAGTCTGTAGCAATTTAGCTGGTATCTAGTTAGAATTTTGCGAGGAGAGGCAGTTTAAAACATGTTCTACTACATATCAACTATCCGAGTTTACTACTGTCAAAGTGTTCCTCTATACGGCCAGCTTTTTGCAAAAAAAAATTTTTTTAAATATTTTTTTAATAATACTCGCTTTCGTTCTCACCTTGTGGTGAGTTCCCAACTAGTAGTCTGTTTGAGTGCATACAAGCTTTAGCTACTTTTCGATCTAATACAGTGAAGATTACGTTTTGCTGTAACCGTACTCAAAAAAAATCTTCTGATAGATGAGTGCGAAAGTCAGCATTCAAAAGCTTCCAACTTTGATTCGTCTTTTTTGTAGGGTAATTACTGCGAATTTGGTGAAAATGTGGGAGTCTCACTTTTCTGCACCATTTCGTGCTAGAAAATGTCTTTTTTCCTCAAGCAAAGTTAAAAGTATGATTTTCCTTATCCAACTCTTTCCAATAATACCACACATTGTGATACATTAAGAAAACTTGTTTGCGGTATTTCTATAAACCGCTAGAAAAAGACAAAGAATATTATACATCTGTAAAGAGATCATAATGCCACTATCACCTGTATATCAGCAGGTTGCACTAGTTGCACAAGCTCAGTCAGTTTCAGCATCTTCTTGTCTGCAAGACCGTACTCCACTAGCAGATATTTACCTGAAAATCACTTTTAATCCAAAGAAAAAAATAATTTATTTGCAAATGGGCTTACCAACATGCTCGACTACCATCTGTCGGTTGAAACAAATGTGATAAGGGAAAATTCTTGCAAAGTCTTTGAGGTTCATTGGTAGATGCGCTGCCTGAAAATACACAGCATATCATTTTACATCCAGCTTCACGCATACTGCAGAAAAATAGAACTGCAAGTTCACAGTTCTATCAAAAATTATTGGAATAATTTCACAATTCTATCAATAATTATATTAATTTATCCTGCTTGGCAACAAAGACCATCACCTAAACATGAAGTTACGCATATTTTTCATTTGAAGAGATTAATTTATCAGCCGAAAAGTTGCTCATATCGCCTTCCTACTAGAATAGAGAAAATTATCTCACATACATATGCTTTGAGCTCTTTGGAAATTTTCTGCAGTGGTAGTATCAAGAACACGGGTTTCAAAGCTGTTCTTGTGCTCCAAGAATATATTGTAAGACTAAGCCCACCTGAGAACGATGTTGAAACTAGGATATATAAAGTCAGTAGGGTATCTCACGGCATCTCATGTCGAAATCTAATGTAGCTCAATTTTGCATTTCGAAGCATTCAAGGTTTTGTATATGCATATGGGTTTTTTCGGCAATGTTGTTTTTGCTCAACGTTCGTTCTAATACGTTTTACTGCCTTCATTTGGAGCAAACAAAATCAGCCAATGAAGTACAAAGCATCTTAATCATTGATAGTATGATTCATTTTACCCCAAAAAATTGTAAGGTTTGTATTTCAACACTTCAGAACATTTCGCGTTCATGTTTGTCCAGTCTATTGATGAAGAATTGCTAGGCTTGTTGTTGTGAGTTGGTATCGCTAGCGCAAGTCTTAGTGCAAAAGAACTTTTTTTCCACACAGCACCTGGTTGTCCTGGCACGAACAGGTCCATATCAAACTGAATATAATGAAAAAACTAACCAGTGATGCATTCGCTTCAACCTCGCTGATTGGATTCATCTGACGTTTGAACTTGTAGGCCAAACGTTTTCCAGCGCGATGTTCGTCATCGGGTTCCAATGAGAAAACGACATGCTCGACCATTCCACTTTTCCGACGCTCTTGAGACCTTTCCACCACACTTACCCTGACTTCCATTTCATATAGCAGTCTGGCCGTGCGATGAACAAGACCTGCAAAAACTTCTCTCAGAGAGGTTCAAAATGGCAAATCTTTTACCCTTCACAATCGGGAAGAGCCCCTGTCTGTGGGAAAAATAGTGTAGCCGAAGCGCTCCTTCACCCATAGATTCACACTGGAAAGTTGGTCCCCGCATTTCAGACTTGAATGCGATCTGGTCGATGAAATAATGCATCGAGTTGAGATTGTCCAAAAACTCCTGCAAATTTTTTTTGTAGTTGCGAAATTTTCGTGAGCTTAGAGCCGCTTCGAGCACCCCATTACTTATTAAAACGCATTCAGACACGCGATCTTATCTACGTCAGTGGCATCTGCGGGCGTTCATGTTATGTTTGGGACTTTAAAACTAATGTTACGTATGAAACGTAGTTTATATTTTTCGCAGTGCAAGGAGTTTATCCGCGCTGTTTACGGTATGTTTGAAAAAGTTCGATATAAAATCGTGAGGAAAAGGATGTCATAACAGAACACTTTTGAGGACGAGAAATCGCTGAAAAAGCAAATTCTTTTGAGTCCGCAATCCACAAGATTTAGTTTGCATAGCATTCAACAGTGGTACCTGCTCAATGATTCGCTGTTCCCAGCAAATATTTTCATAATAATAGTAATAATCCTATCATTGTGATATTATTAATATTATTATAATTCTTGAGGCTTCCTTGGGAACTACTGATGAGGGGCACCAAGGAAGCTGCACCACCGGTAGTTCTTAGCCCCGAAACAGGATAGTGGCAAAACAGATACAAAAATTATCGTGAAATTTTGTATCCTTTTGGCAATCATATTTTCTACTTCTCGTTTGTTTCATTACCTTTATGTAAAAAATTGGGAGTTTCTTATTCTGATCCTTGAATAATTTTTCGTGAAATTTTGTATCCTTTTGGCAATAATATTTTCACTTCTCATTTGTTTCATTAACATTACTTAAAAAATTGGGAGTTTCTTGTTCCGATCCTCGAACAATTTTTCTACTTGTTGGAAAATTGAAAGATATTTCTTACTATCATACAGTCATTCGCGCTCTCTATTTGACTTAAGTGAATGGGCAAAAATTCCGAGGTTCCGACAAGTACTGAGCCTTTACATTTTCGATGATTTGTAGACTAGTCAAAACACCTGTAGAATGGTCTACATCAGGTGTTATACAAGGCACATCTTCATAACCTTCTAAGGGTCGAAAGAAATCGAAAGCTCTTGTCTCAGAAGAAACAAGAAGATCAATTTTTGAGATACTCTTCTATGGATTCGATAAATGCATTTAATTTCTTTCAAATCTTTTCCAAATCTTCAAGTTGCTCGCAGTGGTTTTGGTACTAATTTTAACAGATCAAGTAACGTGAGTTTCAAAGAAAAGACTTTTTTCTTTCAAGCAGACAACGAAGAGTATCAGTGGGGTCAAAAGTAGACGGACTAAAAAGCCAAACCGCAAATTTTCGACGTCCAAATGCATTTTACACAACTGCAATTTCTTCATTTCGCTGATTGATGCCTACATGCTAGAGATCTTTGAAGTGTTTGCTTCCAAAAACGTACCACAACCTTTCAAAGCTTGCTTTTGATGTTTTTTCAGAATCTCGAAGAACTGTGATTTGCATTGCCATAGCAACTGCAGTTGGTATACGTTCAAGCTTAGTCGTAACTAATGGATTTATTTAAAGGAGACCTAATGAGGGCCTGGGATGATATTTCACCAAAAAGCATTGCGAGCATCGAGAAGATTCTTCAGAAGAGACTAAATGCTTTTACCGAAGCCGGAGGCTAGCGACTGAAAGGTTTTATACAAAATCTTCCTGTCTACCGGATGTAAACGAGATCTTGTGATTTCATGCGGTCATTGCATGTTGCAAAGCTATAAGAATTTTTTTTTGCATAACACTTCATGTGGACCACTCTTTAGAATGGAGAGTATGAGAAGTGAGATAGATTTAAAAAATACATCTTCTTACAAAAAATACCCGTTACTGTTATGCGCTTTGATTCTTCGTTAGAGTACGGAAATGGAGTGAGTGATTGATTCACATCGTCGGGTCGCGAAATTTTTGAACTTTATTTACATGGGTTATAAAAATGTGCAAGTGACTTGTCTATTCCTGTGAACAATTGAAATAATTTCTAGAAATCTCAAATTCAACTAGCCTTGTAAAAATATTTTTCGGAGGCATGGCGGAACAGGCACGCCCCTTCTTTATAGATTTTAGGGGTTACGGACTCGCAAAAATTTTGAGAAGCAGCTCAAAAAATTTCTCGGAGTGCCTGGCTACTTTGCCCCCACTCCCCCCCCCCCCCGGATGGAAATCCTGCGAACGCCACTGACGCTAATCGGTACTAACAATTCCAGGCAGATCTCTGAGCATTTACATGAATGTTTATCAAGCTTACCTGAAGATTATTGGCCATACATGCGAGCATCTTCTCCCAGCCCGTCTCGCAGGCAAATGTGATGAGAAATTCGCCATACATCTCCCACATATCGTCTATGGACAGACCTGCAGAACATTTTTGCAGGAACCATATAAGAACATCTGTGATTATAGATTTCAAGGAGAAGCTGATTCTGGGTAGAAAATCGGTTTTTCCTTGAAAGGTGTACGATTTTGATGCGTACAGATCTCAAGAAGCAACTAAGTAGAATTATGAGGTACTTTGATTCCCCATTGAGATTTACAGTTAAAACATGAGCAGAATTGAAGATGTTTTCGATAACTTGGACCAGTGATAGCAAACATAGAGGAAGACTGATGGCATTTGGGTTATGAGTAACCTAGGACTCCTGCAGCTGTGCGGAATATTCGCATCGTCTCTGTGTCGTCATAATATGTCTGTACTTCGAACTCGCTTCCTTCGGAAAAGCCAGCTTTCCGCCTAGAACAGCACGATAGCAGAACAATTTTACAAACTGTCCTCACAAAATCTCACAAAATTTGTTGCCACACATCTATGCCATATCGCCGAATGATGAGAGTGCTGACGCACACATGCGTCCATCCAATCTGAAGAAAGGAACTACCATGAGATGCTTGATGTAACAAAAGCTTACCATTTTGAGGCAAAAATAAAAATTCTACTCAAAACTCATGGCGTCAGACGATAGCGGTGACAAGGAGACGACTGGCGGGGTAATGATAGAAGAACACGCACGAGCATAAATATTCATCCACGAAGACCTTGCTTACATTAACGTAGTTGCTGTCGCCACGACATCCACTCGAACACACACCTATGAAAGTTTCACAGATTACTCTCACGAGTCTTGCATGTTACGAAACTAGTATAAGGTTTTTATTTGAAAAGTGCAACAATGATTGAAGAATATTCCAAACCTTGGTAATTCTTTCTTTGCTTCTTGCATTGTCTCATACTCTCTCATGATCATGTCTCATGTCTCATTGTATTCACACGTTACATTACTTCCACTTCTCTAATCCATCCGAATACGATTTGGTAATTCATGCCGCAGAAATTTATTTCTACCGTGGGGATAATGAAATCGCAGTACATAGCAGCACTACAGATGGTACTGCTCAGGTATACCCCTGGATTCCTGCTACATAGTGCCCAGAAAAACCTCAGTTTCCTTTGCTTCCTCATCCAAAAGCCTCTAAAAGCTGCCGCCTTGCTTCACTGTCCCAAAAATTCGAGTATTTTTTAGTTGCTGTGCTGTTTATTAAAAATAAAATTCACTGGTGACAAGTATCAATGCCTTGGAAAAGTCTTCACGAGCTGCTTAATTGCTCTTACTGTAATGGAGTATCGACATTTTCTTAAAGGCACGTCCACTCAAAATGGGGGTTCACGAGATTCGATGGCATACTAATGTGGCCCCCACACTAAGCCAACTCCCAAGTTTCCCCGCAAAAGAATGCTTTCGGAGCGAGAAATCCGCTCCGGAAAGTACGTAATTCAGAGCTGGTCACTCCGCCCAGCTGGTCACTCAACCCATTTTGCAGGTTTGGCGGGCTGCGGCGCTGATATGATAAGCCGGGCGTATAACAGCGCCGCAGCCCTGCGACTTGCACTTGCACCGTCCGCCAGGTTCTCCAAAACGGGGAGTTTTGGGGGTTTCGTGATTTTTTGACTCCATATTGCTGATCAGGGCCTTCAGAAGGTCTGTAAGCGACCAAATCATGGAGGTCGAGAATTTGGGCGGACGGTGCCTTTAAGCTCAATTCCAAAGGTGCGAAGTTTTCAATGAAATCGGCACGCCATCAGCCTTTCTCTGAATTCACAAAAGATAATTGACCGCAGAAGCTATTTAGGAAGTAGACGCAGTTGTCTGAACATGCAATCGGAAATAATATATAAACGTTACGTTTGAACATACAAAGAGAACTTATAAACTTCCATAGAATGTGTTAAGATGGATAGGGGACTATATGTCGCCGAAATTGGGAGATCTCGTGGGACATCTGCGACAAATACACCTTCTAATACATGCATAGGCTGAGTATCTGCTGCATTGTCCGCGCGGGACCCTCCCACTTTCGCCGACATATAATCCTCCACCCTGTTAAAATATTTGAAAAGTTAAAAACCCTTTGATCGCAGTGAGCTCTCTCAACTCATGTGTCTATCTGTCTCTTAATGTTATCGACTGTATATGAATGAAAGAAATAAAAAGAAAGAGAGTTGACTCTCTCATCTTTGAAAATCCGTTTAGGACAAAATTTTCCATCCACTCAAAATCATACGTTTTTTCTTCGGATAAATCTAGAAGTTCTGCTCACGGTTATATATGACACTTAAGCATTATCTGACTTGGAAGTCCTACTGTGGGACAAAGAAACTCAGATTTACTGTAGACTCGGCTCCCGCAAATACAAACTTCTAAGGAACTAAATTAACCTGTGCTGAAGTGCTCTCAGCCAATTTCTATACTGTTTTGTGTCTGAGGAGCTCGTCGTTTTGACGTGCTAATGATAGATAAGCCTGTAACATTCTCCTCCTTCCCTTGAAATTAGGCGAATTTAGGATGCCATGGTTGTCGCAGTAGTTTTCAATTAATTTCGCGTAAAATGAGGATAGTATTCCACTTGATTCACAGCTGGTATGTTCTGAAATGAGAGATATTATGAATAGAACACTTTTCTACTAGAGATAGTTTGAAAACCTGGCCGTGTTCGTTGATCTCCTCTTTATGATGTGCTTCGAAGTTCAGTACCCCAACAGTACGAATCTTACCGCGCACTGGAATTTAACGATGTGAATTTGTATAATCAAAGTGTATGTCAGTGGTGGAACGAGTCCCACCTCCTTAAGAATGAAGAATAGTCAAAAGTTATCTACAAAAAATAAATTCATGCAAGTGACTTGTTTACGGTAAATAATTAAGATCACTTCTGAAAAATTCCGCAAATTCAAACTAGATTTGCAAAGGAAATTTTGGAAACGTAACTAACGCCACATCCTTTTTCCGGAAATCCCGGGTTTATAAATCCAAATAAGACCTGGGAAGCACCCCAGAATTTTCTCTGAAGGGCTTGACTAACACTAAGGCTTGAAACAAAGCATTATTACTCAAAACTTATGATGAAATCTTCCCTATATTGAAATTACAAAAGAATCATTTCTGTCGGAGTTTTCCAGCATACTTACTTAGATATTCAGATGGCCCGCCCTCACGCAACGTGCGGGCCCCAGTACAAAAGTTTCCATTGATCCCTGTCCCTCGCTTCGGACATCCACGATCTTCTTGGTCGTCGTCGGTGGCTGCGTCCACGAGTTCGAGGGGCGAAAATCGTATCCAGCTGATTTCTCAGCTGGTCCATCCGTTCCACGAACACGTCTGCCCATCTCGTCGGTGGTCTTCCTCGAGGACGTTTGGCTTCGCGAGGAATCCACTCAGATGTTCTTAGTGTCCATCTATCGTCTGTTCTTCTCATAATGTGACCGGCCCATCGGTGTTTCGCTTTCGCAACGTATTCCGCACGAAGACGGGACATTCTTCTCATATCCGTGGTTCGAAGTCCGATTAGATGTTGCTTGTTTCAGGTCATCTTCAGAAGACCGCGCTCCAGCACTCTGTGGGTGATCCTCAAAGCTTTCAACGTGGCCACGGTGTCGGCCTAAGTCTCAGCTGCGTAGCAGAGCGCTGGGAGAACGGTTGAGTCGAACAGGTGGGCACGAAGCTCCGGGTCCGTCAGTTGCTTGGTGGCTTCCTCCAGAGGCCCGAAGGCGGCCCAGGCTGCTCTTTTTCTCCTGTTAAGTTCTTCCCTCAAGTCGTTCTCCATGTTCATCGAACGTCCGAGATACACGTAAGAAGGCGTCTCAATAGGAGTGCCTTTCAATTCCATTTCTGCATCTTCGCAAAGGGAGTTCTTCATGAACTGAGTCTTCTTCCGATTTATTCGCAGTCCGATCTTCTTCCCTACTTCGTTTAGTTCCTTCAACATCGTCTCTGCTTCAGTGATACTGCTCGAGAAGAGGACGACGTCATCCGCAAACGAAGGTTGGATAGGAATCTCCCCAACTCGTATGCCTCTCTCTTCCCAGTCCAGTGACTTCATCACCCACTGCAAGGCCGCAGTGAACAACAGCGAAATAGTGTCGCCTTGTCGAACCCCTTTCCCAATTGGAATGGTCAGGGGGCGATGGAATAGCTGCATCGTTGTTGTACAGTCCTTATAGCAGTCGGCTAGTGTCCTCACGTAAGCTGGGTCCACCCCTTGATCGAATAGCACAGACAGGATGGCGTTGGCTTCGACGCTGTCAAAGGCTTTCTCGTAGTCAGCAAAGGTTAGGACGAGAGGCAGTCGGTACTTCCGGCAGACTTCCATGATCCTCGAAACCGTCTGGATGTGGTACATGCAGCTGAATCCTTTGCGAAATCCAGCTTGTTTTTGGGGTTGGGCTTCATCCAGTGTCCCAGATATGCGTGTGAGGATAATCTTCGTGAAAAGCTTGTACAGCACAACAGGCATATTGGACGGTAATTTCGAAGATCCTCCCGTTCACTATTCTTGAAAAGAAGGACGGTTTTTGACGTTCTTCACTGGTCGGGAATCCTCTCCTTCTGAAGGTAAGATGTCAGGTGCGACGCGAGAATTTCGTGTAGACGTTGTCCTCCGGCTCGCAGAAATTCGACGGAAAGATGGTCTGGTCCTGGAGCCGTGGATGTCTTCATCGTCTGAATCGCCGTGCGCACTTCAGCAGGTAGAATTCGTGGTGGTACTTCTCCAGCGGGAACAACGGGCATCGGCACGGGTGTTGATGAGCGGAAGAGGTTGGTGTAGAAGTTCTTCGCGATAGATTCCATTTTGTATCGGGAAGAAGTCGGAGTCCCGTCTTCGTTCAATAATGCACCCAGCGGTACGTGATATGAGGTCCCTTCGGCATTTCGGCAACTTTTCCAGCATAATGCTTTAGCAAATAATCCTACGTCACAAAAGCAAGGCTGCAAGAATTATGCTAGTTCAAATAGAACTGTACGCTGTCATGTTTGAAAAGAGCAACACGGACTGGGCAGATTTTGGCGAGAGATTTTCGGACG